AAAATAGTCGGGTTTAAATCGGGCTCGGGCTCATAATTACATTTAATGTGTCGGGCCGGGCGACTGTAATGCTACGTTCACACCGGACGCGAATAGCGCGTCAAATTCGCGTCTACCGCGTCTAGTTTGACGCTTGACCACTTTGTGTTAATTCGCGTGTCAATTGCGAAATTGACGCGCGTTAAAACAAAAGAGGCGAAATCCAGAGGCGAAAGTTTCGAAACCCTTTGGCGGCCATCTTTTTAGATGTTTATCGAGCATTAGCATTAGCATTATTCGAGAGAGTCACAGCTGGTATATGCTCTGGAGAGCAGAAACAGCTGCGTAGGGGACATCGTCGCTGTACTCGGGTCCACCAGACCCTCCGGAGGGTTTCAGGAGTTTCACAATTTGCCAGGAGCTAGGTTTGGTGGACCTAACGGTGAGGACGCTGACGAGGACAGCGTAGGCCGTATAAGGCCTCGGCCTCGAGTGGTCTATGCCTGTCGAGCCCGCGCTCTACAGCCCGGCGCGAGGTTCATCCTCGCCCGCATCCACCTAATCTGTCATTTATTTTTGTTTTGATAATAAATGAAGCCAGCCTCCAAAAGTGATTAATCTGTCCTGTGATTTTTCTCTCTCTCTCTCACACATCACTGTCCAGACACAAACTTATATGTTGGTTGTCTTTACATTATAATAATATTTCATATAATCTAGATATGGAATAAATAGCATTCAATGCAAAATGAATATGTCTCATATATTGAAATCAAGTTTTATGTGATAAAATATTTGCTTTGTTGTGCATTAGAACCACAGTCATATATTACAAAATAATTTATTGAAGCATCCAGATACTTCACCACGTGACAGCAGCAAGCAGCTAGGCTCCTGATTGGTTAACGCGGCGCGAATTGACACAGAAGTTCAGATTTTTCAACTCGGGCGGCAGACGCGAATTCGCGTCAAACGCGTGAATGCACAAATAGCACTAACTAAATCATTCGCGCGTAACGCGCTTAACGCGCCAGACGCACAATTCGCGCCAGGCGTATGAGGCGTATTCGCGTAAATGAGGCGTATTCGCGTCTACCGCGCCGCGCTCTACGCCTCATTCGCGCCGCAGGAATTTTTTACGCGCGTAACGCATCTTTGCATTGACTTAACATTGAAATCACTCGCGCCTGACGTGCTATTCGCGTCCGGTGTGAACGTAGCATAAGGCTCGGACACAACGTGCTCGCCCAGCAAGCAATAGCCGGCATTTCACCGTCTCGGTTAAATATAGACCCGATATAGTCCTGCTATGTGTAACCCACTTCTAGCCAAAATAACATTGAATCTGGTTAAATGTAATTGAATTAAAATGTATGATATTCCATCATGTAAGCAAAGTCAAATGTGATTACAAGGTGTTTGGTTTCATTTCTTTGACATGTTCTATATCTAGGCTGTGTGTAGACACGATCTAGCTCGTCTAGTCCGCCCGGCTATTTGTAGCCCATAGTCGAAACTGATTAATTGTAGTTTTAATTGTTGGGCAGGCAACGCATGAGATGGTTGATATACCATCATGTTCGCATTGGTAATAATATCTACAAGGTGCCAGTGTCATTTCATGACATGGTCAATCTGTAGTCATGATGTAGCTCTGAATTGGACGGGCTATGTGCAGTCTGCTTTTAGCCCACCCAGCGAAATCGAGGCAATAAGTGGTATACGTTTAACAGCTTGAAGCCCTGATTTAGACCAGCGATTAGTATAGCCAAAATAGTATTAAAATTGTTAACATGTTTTTCGCCCCCACACAGCTTCATGTTTGCTGTCACACATTCATAAAACAATCTACGATATTATTTGACTATCTTTCATTTTAAATAAAATAAAAATGCAATTACATTTCTCAACCGCTAGATGGCAACAGCCCTAGTGAGACATGACTACTGGCACCGCGAGACTTGATAGTCGTGATCGCGCGACAAACACATTTCCACCATTTTGAAACATTTAAATGAGCCAGAGCATTGCATTCAGCTGTCGGTCGAAGAGAACAGGTAAAAGACATTCCTACTTTTGTCTTGTAAGTATTGTGACGAGCGTCCTCGGAGGAATCAGCGTCGCCCTGGCAACCAACACAAAACACCTGCACGTCCTCATCGCCGGCTGATTGGTCACAGCTGCTCCCAATCAGCCCGCAGCCACATAAGCAGCACATGCTTAGCAAACAGACAGATGCTAGTCTCGAACCGAATGAAAGCGCTGGTCTAACCTTTCTCTCTGTTCTCCCCAGAAAGCAGCGAGTGACTGACAGTCCGTTTTGGAACACGTTTAGGACACCCACTTTCGTTTGGATTGAACACCGAAGAGCACTTACAGCACCAGCCATCACGGCTTACCTTCTTTCACCAGTTTTATTTAATTGTAAATAAATCCACCCTCCGGGGCCTTTTCACTAAGCCTGCCTTGTCAAGTGGTTCTTCACCTCGTGACAGTATCTGTGTTTTCGTTTTATCTTGTGCTCATTTTTTAGCTACATTATTTGTTATCATGTGTTGTTGTTGCAATCATGACATTTTAGTGGATAACAGTGTAGCCTATCATGGTACATGCACGTGTACCCCATGTTTCCATGTGTCCTTAAACTCGAATTATCTGAATCCAAAGGTGTAAACATGAAACATGTGCAACCTATATAAAGTGTTATGAAAGCCACAATATATTTTACTCTTTTCTTTAGATCATTATGATATGAAAATAGCATTCCTCACTAAAGCTCTCATCTTTGACAAAGTCCATCATTGATTTGAACTACAATATTGAATTTGTCTGAACAATGGCTTCAATACAGAGAGAGCATAAGCTAATAGAATAATATTTGTCATTGTACAAGCACAATAAGATGAAGTTTCATTCAAAATGCCTTCATTCCATCATTCAAGTTTGAAACTTTCAAATTAATTTTATAATACAGCATAAAAATACAAATTATTGGCTATATAAAATTAACAATTATAAAAAGTATCCGGCAGTATATCAATAATGCAAATAGCTCAGATGCGCATTAAAACCTAAACAGAACACATGCAGTACACACACACACAAACACACACAAACACACACACACACACACACACACACACACACACACACACACACACACACACACACACACACACACACACACACACACACACACACACACACAACAGTATGGTGAATATTAGTCCATGCACACTTGAGGTTAAACTGTCAATAATGCTTTTCTTGTGCAAATTATTATTTTTTTGTGTAGGCTGTGCGTAGACACGATCGAGCTCGTAGCTATAAGGGCTATTTCCCCGCAAGCAATAGAATAGCCGTCATTTCACCGTCTCGGTTTCGAAGCTCCGCCCCCACTGTACTGAGAGTCTAGCTCCGCCCCTGCTTTGCTTACATGATGGAATATCATACATCTCTTATTTTGGCCAAAACGACATGTATCCAAATTCAAGGTTATTTTGGCTCGTGGGTTAGGGACTAGGCCTATATCGGGTAAAACAGAGACGGTGAAATGACGGCTATTCTATTGCTTGCGGGGAAATAGCCCATCTTACTACGCTAGATCGTGTCTACGCACAGCCTACACATAGAACATGCCAAATAAATGAAGCCAAACACTTTGTAATTACAGTTGACGTTGCTAACATGATGGAATATCTTACATCTCGCAAGTTATTTAGTAAAAAATGACATGTAACCAGATTTAATGTTATTTAGGCTAGATGGGTTACACATAGCCGGACTATATCGGGTCTATATTTAACCGAGACGTTGAAATGACGGCTATTGCTTGCTGGGTACTTAAGGTGGGAAGACAATAACACGCAGAGACCTTCCCCCGCTGATCTATGCATCCATTGGGTCGATTGGGTCGGGCTTACAATGCGCAGAAGAGAGAAGCGAGAGAGACACGAGACGAGCTGAAACTTTCACCAGTTGAGTCTGAAAGTCACGCTGTTAACGATCGTGAATGAAGGACAAATGTGGAATATTTTCTTCGGATGCCGTTTATTTTCAGTCTGCAGGTGAGAGATGTTACCAGATTACAGAGTTTAACATTAACCAGCTCCAGAGTTTACATGTATAAAAACCAATATAATGAAATGCGTTGGTTGTCCTGGCTTATTGCTATTAGAGTGTAATAATATGATGGCAAAGAGTTTTTCACAGACTCTGTTTTAGCTTGTTGACACCAATAAAATGTGCTTAATGTTCCACTTTACAGAAGATCTCAGACATCACCATAATGAATGAGGTGAAAACAGGGAACTATTGGAGACAATGAGGTTTTTCAGCGGCTCAGTTAAACATGATGGCTCTGTTATTTCTGTCAGACTTCGGAAAAGAATTACAAAAACCTAGTTTTAAATGCAATTAATATCTAACTTGTACCAAAATACCCACATTCCTGACAGAAAACATATGTTCATTTAATTTAAATGTAATTAAAGTATTCCAGTATAAATTCAATAATGTACCTCTGATTTTTCCAGATCTGGTCCTGTGGGCGTCACTATCACACAGTGATCACAGTTCACACCTGCAGTGAAGCCCCTCCCACAACAATTCACCAATAAATACTGGGAACATTCCCATCATCCTACAAGAGGAGGACAAACTCCAGGAGTAGCAGCTAAAATCTGTGTGACTGTTAAAGATGGAGTTTATTAAAGAGGAGATTGAAGACATGAGTGATCCAGAACCATCCAGAATAAAGCATGAAGATACAGAGGAACAAATAGGTTGGTGTCCATTCTTGATTTTTCTTTGTTGACTTTTGGTGGCTGTAAAATAATATTCAGGATATGGATAAATGATAGAGAAATGCATCTAAATTATCATAATCCAGTTTTCACCTTTGCACATCAAATTTACTTGATATAGAGACAGGTGTCTTGTTTTCTGCTATGTGTTTTTAATTCTCACATTTAACCTCATTGAACTGATTCTAACTGATTAATACATGTATTTTAGTCCAGATGGAGGTCAAGGAGCAAAGACAGAAACTAAATGACGTAAAGAAACACTGCGACTTCAAAACTCACGGAACAAAAGCCAATAAGCTGCACTCCTGCTCTCATTGTGGAAAGAGTTTCCAGAATAAAGGAAACCTTAACAGACACATAAGAATTCACACTGGAGAGAAACCGTATCCATGCACTCAGTGTGAGAAGAGTTTCAGAGATGCAACATGTTTAAAAAATCATCTGCGCATTCACTCTGGAGAAAAAACATTTAACTGTGATCAGTGTGGTAAAGATTTTATTTCATCAGCAAATCTAAAATCACACCTGAAAGTTCATTCAGATGAGAAGCCTTATGTGTGTTCTCTCTGTGGAAAGAGTTTTCCACGGATGAAGAGTTTTAAACTGCACCAGAAAGCACATAATGATGTGAGAGCTTATGTGTGTTGTGACTGTGGGAAGAGCTTTACTAGAGTTGACCATCTGAAACTGCACCAAAGAATTCATTCTGGAGAAAAACCTTACAAGTGCTCATACTGTGACAAGAGTTTTACTCAGTCTGGAAACCTGAAAAAGCACAAGCGAGTTCACACTGGAGAGAAGCCGTACCACTGTACTCAGTGTGAGAAAAGTTTCAGAAATTCAACAGGTTTAAAAATCCATCTCTGTTTTTACTCTGGAGAAAAAACATTTAACTGATCAGTGTGGTAAAGACTTTAATTCATTCTCAAATCTAAAACTACACCTGAAAATTCATTCAGATGAGAAGCCTTATGTGTGTTCTCTCTGTGGAAAGAGTTTTCCACGGCTGAATAGTTTTAAATGGCACCAGAAAACACATAGTGAAGTCAGAGATCATGTGTGTTGTGAATGTGGGAAGAGATTTACTAGAGCTGACAAACTGAAACAGCACCAAATAATTCATACTGGAGAAATACCTTACAAGTGCTCATACTGTGACAAGAGTTTCCACACCTGAAATCACACGAGCGAATTCATACTGGAGAAAAGCTGTAGCCTACTAGTGTACTCAGTGTGAGAAGAGCTTTACACGTTTATCAATCCTTCAAATTCATATTAAAAAATATTGTGAGCGACATTTGTTTTCATGTCTTATAGTAAATACCCTGCAAACATTTGGAGGTTTAATGACCGTTGAAAAGACACGTCCCGTTATGGTTGAAAAATAGTTCCAAAATGAAAGTTGAACGGACGTCTTCGACGTCATCTGACCGTGAGTTCCACGTCTCTTCTGCGCGTCCCTGGACGTCTAAATGCGTCACCATCTGTGTGTTTAAATGTGTTGCTGCATAATTTAAGTGTATATATAAACCTGCATTTAAAATAATCACACACATATTGTGTAACATCGTAAAAGGCAATCAAGTCGTGAGGTTTAAACATCTTGACAAAGGTTCTAAAAAGGACCAAAATTGGTCCAGTCAGACCTGACCGTCAATAAAACGTTTTAATCACGTGTAGCCTACATCACAAACAAGAACACATTATTTATGGACATAAGAAAAAAAAATAAGCATGTTCTGATTCAGCACAACATTTTATTGATATTGAACAGCCAAAATTTCTCTTAATATTTTTTCAATGTTTAACATTTGTTAACCAAACTAAAATACCAAATACAAAATACTGAATTATTATATAAAGGGATAGTTCACCCAAAAATGAAAATTCTGTCATTTACTCACCCTCATGTTCCAAACCTGTATGAGTTTCTTTCTTCATATCAGCTGAACACAAAAGAAGATATTTTGAAGAATGTTTGTAACCAAGCAAATAGAGCAACCATTGACTACCATTATTGGAGAAAGATTAATGGGAAGCGACATCTACTTGGTTACAAACATTCTTCCAAACATCTTTGTGTTTAGCATAACATAAAAAGGTATCAGGTTTGAAACATGAGGTTGAGTAAATGATGACAATTTTAATTTTTGGGTGAACTTTAAACACATTGTTTGGCTCATTTTTTGTATCCACCACCCCCAGCTCTTCCTGGAGCGTGTTTCAGGTGTTGCTGCATCAATTTCAGAGTCTGTAGCATTTGGGCTCCACCTCTTCACAGCATCTAAGGGAAGATAATATATATATATTTTTAAATAAATAAAATTATAAATTTGAGGTAAATGATATGCTCTTATTTTCAAAATATGTTTATGGTCTACAGCTAAATAAAAAAAAAACATGGAACGAGATGAATGAATCATGAATGAAACATTAGAAAAAGGTAATCAACATGCATTACATTTTATTTTATTGTATAAAAGATGTTCGGCTTTTATTTTGAAAGCAGTTACTGAAAACATACATGTTAAAATCCAGCTAAACATTTCATTCCATTTCAGATAATTTACTTTCTGAAAGAAACTCTCAAAAGGCTACATTAATACGTTACAGTAAGAACTTTGACTGTATCATTAAACAATATACTTTATACTATGGTATACCGTTGTATACGTTCAAAGTTACTTTAGCCTACTGGCTAATTTTAGCCAAATTCAGTAAATTTCAGTTGACAATGTGGGCATCATTTCTTTCGGTTCATTCATGTCACACAAGTAAAACTCAAGCACGTTAATCTAATAATACAAAATGTACTTACCCAACAGTAGATTTTTAATAATATCGACACAACTCCCTCCTCTCCTCGTGGTTGTTCAAAGTTCCAGAATCTATGGGGAGAACGCGTTAAGATCTTTTGTTACTACATCTTGGCAGCACAGTTTATGGTTTGGGCAATTACATCAAACTCAGACATAAATGGTGACCGGGTATATTTCTGTTTTACATAAAAAATAACAACGAATACATCAGGTAGGCTACAACAGGTTAAAATAATGACTAAAATGTGGATTTGCAATCACTTAACCACACTGGGCACTTTGTGATTATAATTTATTTAAACAAGATAAAGTAAATATATTTACTTTGTATACAAATCGTGTATTTCATAAAGATAATTCCTGATAATTGTTTCTGTCTTGCTAGACTAGACGTGTAAAGGACGCCAGTGGACGCCTTCACAACCTCTTAAAAACTTCATGGGCAACTACATTAATTATTGCAGTATTAACCATGAGAGGATTAAGCGCAGCTTTTGCATATTTAACAAGGATTTCATAGAGGGTCATGATGGACTATAAATGCACGTGTAAAAGACGTCCTCTCACCCGATACACTAAACATAACTACACGTAGCTAAAAGTTAAAATAACAATTATACATGCAACTGTAGACATGTACAAATGTATCTGAATGCATTTTAGGAAATGTTCTGTGTTACATATTTTTACCGATTTATGACGTCCTGGCCGCAACTATTTTTGGCCAGGGACACGACGTTGCCGTCGGACCAATGTTTGCTGGGTACTGTGATATAAAATATGGAGTTTTTCCACTCAGCAGTCAATAACTCTAATGGTGTGTTCACACCGAATGCGAATAGAGCATCAAATACGCGTCTATCGCGTCTAGACGCTTGAACATTTGCTCGAGTTCAAATTTTTCAACTTGCGCGGAAGACATTCGCGGCAAACGCGTCACCCAACGCCCGGCGCGAATGATGCGTCTATTGGCGTTGTTGCATTGACTTTGTATGTAATCCACTCGCGAAAATAATTAAATTCGCGTTCGGTGTGAATACACCATAACACTCCCCCAAACTTCTCATAAGCAAACTTCTCATAAGAACTACTCATGTAAGCAAAGTCAACAGTGATTACAAGGTGTTCAGTTTAATTTCTTTCACGTTCTATGGATAGGCTGTGCGTAGACACAATCTACCTCGTATAGTACGGGTATTTGTAGCCCACGTATAATCGAAACTGATTAATTGTAGTTTTAATTAATTGTTGGGCAGGCAACGCATGGGATGATTGATATCCCATCATGTTCGCATTAGTAATAATATCTACAAGGTGCCAGTGTCATTTCATGACATGGTCGATCTGTAGTCACGATTTAGCTCTGAATTGGACGGGCTATGTGCAGTCTGCTTTTAGCCAAAGTCCTTTTAGGCAAGTCATGCCACTCGGCCGCCATCTTGGCAACACCTCCGGGCAGCTATTTCGGACTAACAAGACCAGGCTCCTATCTAAATGAATGGGCAGAGTGTCAGAACTGCACTTTCACTGGTCACCGGGACATAAAAACTGCTTGTAGCCTATAGAAACAGCAGTAAAATATGACTCCTGTTATTGCTAAATGTTTTGAACGACTAGTAATCACACACATCAAAGACTCTGTACCAGCCGATCTAGACCAATATCAGTTTGCCTATCGGGCAAATAGATCGACTGAGGATGCCATCTGTGTAGCTATACATGCTGCCCTCTCACATCTGGAAAATCCCAACACATAGATCAGGATGCTCTTCGTTGACTACAGCTCGGCTTTTAACACCGTCGTACCAAGCCAGCTGATCAACAAACTTCACACATTAGGACTAACTCCCTCTATATGCAGCTGGTTACTGAACTTTCTCACCAACCGCCCCCAGTCAGTGCGGTTGGATAAGCATACATCCTCTACCTTAACCTTGAGTACTGGTGTGCCACAAGGATCTGTGCTAAGCCCCCTCCTCTATGCACTTTTCACCCACGACTGTCAAGCCACTTATGAGTCTAATGTTCTGGTCAAATTTGCAGATGACACGACCGTCATTGGGCTCATATCAAACAACAATGAAGATGCTTATAGGGACGAGGTTCAGAACCTGATAGCGTGGTGTGATATCAACAACCTGGTCTTGAACATCAAAAAGACCAAATAAATGATACTGGATTTTAGGACCACTAAAAAGACCACCCACAGTCCAGTAACTATAAAAGATGACGTCGTGGAGAGAGTTCCTAGCCACAAGTTTCTAGGAGTTACCATCACAGAGGATTTCACATGGGGGAAAAATACTGCAAGTATAGCAGGAAAAGCACACCAACGCCTCTTTTTTCTGAGAAAGCTAAGGAGAGCTAACCTTCCCCAGAAGCTGTTGTTAAATTTCTACAGATGTACTATAGAGAGCATCTTGACAAATTGTATGACAGCCTGGTATAGCAGCTGTACAAAATCTGCCAAAAAAGCCCTGCAGCAGGTTGTAAAAATAGCACAGAACATTGTACCTTGACCACCTCCATAACACTCGCTGTTTGAGAAGGGCCAATACCATCATCAAGGACATCACTCACCCCTGTCATAACTTGTTTCAGCTCCTTCCCTCCGGCAGACGTTTTCGGTCAATCCGCTTACGCACAAACAGACTAAAAAAACAGTTTTTTTTTCCAACAGCAATAACTATGTTTAATTATGATATCTCCCTGTCCGACCATGTATAGGAAGGTTGTTGGAAATGTGCGACTTACTGTTTTTAAGTGCAAAAATTAATTATGCTGCTATGCATTTGAAGAAATAATAATAGTACTGGTACACCTGTAATAATTATGGATATGGCATTTTTAACAATATTCAGAATAATCTTGAAATATGTTGTATTATGAGCCAGTCTCTTAACTTAACTTTTATATTGTATTTATTTATTACATTGATATGCTAATTATTATATTTATTAAGTATCTCATCCGAAATGTATTATGTTCTTTATATATCAGTACATGTATTGTTAACAATTTGTTTTGTCTATTTTAAATAGGATCTACCTCTCCTTTTCTTTTTAATGCACCTTTGGGGTTGTCACAAGAGTAATTTCATTGTGCCACACAATAACAATAAAGTACTACTACTAT